TATTATTATAACTTCCTTATTATCTTTAATAAAGCAAATGTTTATTTCTTGGTAACAACGTTCAGTTTCCTGACTCTCCTATAAAATTGTAAAAACTGCATATTATTTTATTGTATTTTTAAAGAAGATGGCAGAATGGCAGAATGGTTCTGCTGCTGACACTGGTAGCTGAAGGCAACAAGGGAAAAAAAAACGCTTCTCTCTTACCCCACCGGCTTTCATCGGGTTGGCCTCATGGGACAGCAGAGACCGCACTATGTCGTCCTTAGAGAAGGCTGCGGCAAAATGTAATGCTGTCCTTCCGTCCTGGGTGGGGGTGGGGGTTAAGATAAGATAAGATAAGATAAGATTACATAAGCTAAGCTAGGCCAAGCTAAGCTAAGATAAGTTCAACGTTTTTACAATAGTAATGGGGAGACTGTTGAGATTTTTTTATGGAAGGAAAAGAAATCAGATGAAGTAATGATGAAAGAATCCAGGGTGTTTCTGTCACTAAGTAACAACAGAGAGGAGACAAAAGCAACAAGGAGGAGACAATAGTTTGTAGGATACTTCAATCAACATAAGACCTGAACATCCTACTCTCCCTTTTTTGTTTGTTTTTGTAAGATTTTCCGCGCTCGCAACTGCATAAGGTCATATGAGCGTTTACTCTCACTGGTAAAGTCGAAAGGAAAGAGTCAGAAGTAGAGATAGACCAAGAAAAAAGTTTTGGCGGTTTTTTTGTTGATGTTTTTGTTTTGTTAAGTGTTTTAAGGCGTTTGCAACTCCATAAGGTCATATTAGCGCGCGTTAAACATTTGCAGTTGGTAGGAAATACTTGAATTTTGCCAGTGTGGCAGCCGAAACCTACTCTTATCGATTTTAGGACCACCAAGGGATCTTGAACGTGCGCAACTTGTACATGGAACCTCCGAGATTTTTCGCCCTTTTCCCAGAAGGCTAGGTGTTAGATCTTATCTACAATACGATCAGGGGTGTGACTGAAAGACAGTAGTAAGAAGGAGACAAGGAGTAGCAGTAGACAGGCTGCAGAAAGAGTCAGGAGTCCAGAGGAGGGGGCAAAGGAGGTGAGGGAGTGGGGGGGGGGCGCAGAAAATGGAGATGAAAGCAGACGACAGAACATTATTAGAGAGCACGAAAGGAGGTGCAAGGAGAAAATTTTAGAGAAGAATAATTTTCCGCTGCTCTCTGGACTGGAACCCGGGACCTATTGAATGAGAGGGGAACAATGTAACCTCTCGACCACGAGAGGCCCCTGACGAAAAGTGTACTTGGCGAAGTTGGACCTGGTGGGTGACGGGAAAAGATCAAGAGATAATAAATTTTAATCAACAACGCCGATGCAGAGAGAATTATCCTTCTTCGTCAAATATCAGACCTGAAACAGACTTCGAAAAGTTGGTTTTATCATATAGGGATGAACAATCATATCTGTTCATCGTTCCCTTTTTCATCCTTTGTTCTTCAGAAGAACCAGCTCGGGCTCATCGTTAGCTCGGTTAGTACCATGCACGACTAAGGGGCGGGCTTCCCTGGTTCGAATCCGTAACGGGGCATTCTGAACTTGGGTTGTTGTCGGGAGTTTTAACCCCCCCCCCCACATCTGACTCTGTCCTATCGGAAATGGACGTTAAATGTGGAGGTCTCACCTCTTAAGTAACCTTAGAGTGCTGAAAAGGGTTTATTCAATACCTAGAGGCAATTCGGGACTTGTGCAACGCCGAGAGGCACTTCAGTCAATTTCAAAGTGAAAACGTATGTGTTCCCTTAATCCTCGAGACGAAGAGAATTAATTAATCAATACACATTGTAAGGCATATTTGCTAGATTCTATATACGTCATCCAAAAAGTGGGGAAGGAAGCTCTGTAGTGAACCATGTCGTCGCATTAGCAATTCAGGTGTGCAGAGAACATTCTCGGGTGATGTCCAGAAACAGAAACGTTAGAGTTGCATAAGGCAGCAGTGTGCGCCACACGATGAGAGAGAAGGGGTGCAGAAAGCGTGGCGTCGTCAGATCATTTATGCTCGCGGCCACCAAAACAAGAGTTCTTCATTATCTCGGATCGAGGGGATATCGATCTCTAGCGAACCATGTCGGTACTTATGCCGTTCGCGCTTTGGTGAAGCTGATCTATAGCCCATGTTCGCCAGACAGGGATGTTTAAGAGATTGATGTTGCATGCACGCAGAAACATTTGGAGGATCGTTCTCTGTTTAGAACGTTTTTATTTGGGTAAAATCAGGGAACAATGAACTGTGAAATCGCTGCGCTTGAAATATCACCATGCTTCGGTTTTAAAATGTCTGAAATAGTTTTACATCTATTTGAATACCGTTCATTTTGTAATTTGAATTTAATTTTGAGGCAAAAAGGGCTGGTCGGAGGATAAAGGGCGGATTTAACGAATGTTAGTCTATGAAAGAGATACAAAAAAGGAGATTTGGGAGTATGCATGTGTTTGGGGGGGGGGGCAGATAATTTTATCGTAAACTCCATAAATCGCCCATCAAATGAAGAAATAAAAAGTTTTGCATCATTAAGTAAGAATAGCACACTCGAAACTGAAGTGCTACATTACCCTGTGGGCCTAAGTTATCACAATGAAACGAAGGGTATTCATTGATTAGCATTGTTTAAATAGATTATAATCTATTTTAGACATCATTTTTCTATTTAAACGTACTGATAATATTTCAAGCACAGCGATTTCACAGTTCATTTTTCCCTACTTGTTCCCTAATAATAAACGTTCTAAACAGGTAACGATCCTCCAAACGTTTGGGTGGGCATGCAATATCAACACTTTAAACTTTGTGGAACGAAACGAACAGCTCGTTTTCTTCTCGTAAAAGAAGCTGCCAGTGAATCTACAATAACAGTACGGGAACATAGAAATGCTGACCGCCCAGACCGAAAAGTAAGATCATCATAATGACAGGACCTTTTACTACAGTCCGTACTAGTAACAATTAAAGCTTTTCGCAACTTTGGGCGCTCCGCTGAATAAGTTGGTACCATACTAGCTTTTGGAGAGGATGCCCTTGGTTCGAATCTCAAACTGGGCGTTCTTGAACTCGGGTCGAGTCGTTTGGTGGCGTTTTCATTGCTCTCAGTCAATTCGTTTGATTCTACTGGAGACGGATGTTAAATTCGGAGGCCCCGTCTCTAAAATAATCTAATAGTGTTGATGGGGGTTTTCAAACCCATACACTTCCTTTTAATCGGAACTTAGAGTAATTTTAAAACGCTTAGCTCTCGAACCCGTGGTCTCAAACTTAAATAACCAGGGGGTCGCTGGATGTAGTCTGGGTGAGTCAGGGGCACATCAAGTACTCCACGAAAATAGTTTTTAAGTATTTTTCTTTCTATTTTTCTGATCTCATCTTCTCAATCTTTAAGAACAGGCAAAAGCATTTTTGGTGGGTAACAACATGTGCGTGCAAGAAAAACTTTGCAGGCCGTGTTAAAACTAAACTTTACCGTGATGTATGCAGGAACCACAAAATTTCGTCCTACGAGGCTCAATTGGCCTCTGGCCGAGAGTTTGAGACCCTTGGTCTATAGGTTCAAAAGGATATTTATAGTTGTAAAGTCAAGACTTCTTTGGCCATCATTTGGTCCTGCATATCAACTAATCATTCATTTTTTGGGGTAAGAAAATTAATACTAAATTTTCTGGAAGATTTCAGTATATATTTCCATTCTTGTTTCTCTGGTGCGTTTACAATGAATAGAGAAAGGGTTCGTTGTATAATAATTTGAAAAGTAGTGAAAGTGTCCTAGCTTCACATTTCAAGAACATGTGGAATCAAGTATTAAGTTATTGTTCCTTCTGTCCCCCTCCCAGTTCTATGGTGCTCACCTCTGTGGAGTCGTTGACGTCTGCCCCATGCTCCATCATTCGCTCACAGATGCTCTGTTTGTTCTCGTGGACCGCCATCATCAGAGGAGTCATGCCAGTCGCCTGAAATACAGGGAGAAAGGGAATAATATTTTTGTTGTAGTTGTTACCCATGGTTTTGTTGTTGTTGTTGTTGTTGTGGTGGTGGTGGTGGTGGTGGTGGGGGAGGTGGTCGTTGTTGTTGTGGTTACTGTTGTTTCTGGTGATGTTGATGTTGTTGTTTCTTTTAATGCTATTGTTGTTTTTGTTGTTGCTAATGTTGTTGTTGTCACTGTTGTTGTTGTTTTTGTTGTTTTTGTTGTCGTTGTCGTTGTGATGATGGTGGAGGTGGTGGTGCTGGTGGTGGTTGTAGTTGTGGTTACTGTTGTTTCTGGTTATGATGTTGGTGTTACTTTTGATGCTATTGTTGTTGTTGTCACTGGGTTTTTTTTTGTTGTTGCTCATGATGTTGTTGTTGTTGTTGTTGTTGTTGTTGTTGTTGTTGTTGTTGTTGTTGTTGTTGTTGTTGCAGTTGTTACTATTGTTGTTATTGTTGTTGTCGATGTTGTTTCTGTAACTGTTAGTGTTTTTTGTTTTTGTTTTTTCAGGGGGGGGGGTTGTTGTTTTGAGAAAATACTAAACTCTGACGGCCATTTTCTCACTAATCTTACTTCAGACACCAAGCAAACCCCTTCTCATTCTATCGCAAATATCTCGACTTCCGTTCAAGATTGATGAGTATCTCTTCAAATTAAAAGCAAGGCAAATCAACAGGCTGTAAGATGATACCAACAACTCCATATGCCCACAAATTGACGAGTGCCTCGATTCCACGGTGTCTTGACACTTTTAAATGCTCTCAATCGCTGGTTCATGGTCGAACTGAAATATTTCTATTTTTAAGCATAAGTTGCACTTGCAACGCAACAAATAGTTCATATATGTGCAAAAAAAAATTAGAAGTTATACAAGAGGATAGCATATAATATAAAGTAAAAATGAGGCGATATAAGGACAACAGATGTTTAATAGGAACGAGTGGGGCAAACCACACGTTTGCACCAGCCAAACGTCCTCCCAAATATTTATGCCGTCCTTAGCTAAGGCCTGCTTTTCAACCACACCTTCCAACAATTTGCCTTTTCTTCCCTTTCACTTCTTCGCCTTTTCCTTCATCCTTCATTTCAAAAACCTTTTTTGTTGTTTTATTGCTCCCTATCGACTGGCCATAATCATACCCGATTATTTCCGGCACTCCCTCGCAGATCGATATCTTCAATCAGTCAGAAGCCTTTTCTTTGGGTTTTCTCAGGGCGAGTTATTGGAAGATACACAGAAACGACGAGAAATATGTGGCTATAGCTATCGATACCAGTGAAAATGTTGCTTTGATGTCAGTTCAGTTTACGTATATCTTATATTTATTGTTCGTGTTTTAAGCCCCTATTAACACGATTTAGATTATTTAGGATGCAGGCTTCGACCATGCCTGACAGGGGCAACCTGGACTGAGAAGGATACAGCATCCCAGGGGAAACACCGAGATACTCGATACAAATTCCCTCAACTACAGAATCAAACTCGAGTCTCCTGCATGCCAATCCGAAGTGTCTAACCGCTTAACCACAGACGCCCGTTATTTACAGACAAAGCACTTGCTAAGAGACCAATCTGAAAATAAGATAACAAATTAACTTGGGGGGGGGGGCGTAATTTGCTTTCCCGGTGGCCGTTTTAAGGAACAAAAGCAGTCTTAATCTTCGTTTACATTAAAATGTCTGTTTAACTTAAATTGTAAAAACTAATTACGCTTGAATAAAAGATAATCTTATAATTATCCCCGAGTAGTTCCTCCCGATAAGATATTTAAATGGCACTTGAGGTTTCGGGATTTTAATCCTCTTTTGAATTGTAACTGCCCAAAACACAACCTCGACCTGATCTATGATAATAATAATAATAATAGTAGTAATAATAATAGTAGTAATAATAATACTAATAGTAATAACAATAATAATTATTATTATTACAATTCTTAGTAGTATTATTAATAGTATTGTT